TTGGTTCTCATTTCAAAGTTGAAGGCATTTGGAACATGGTCACTTCTACATATATACATGAAATTTTTGGTATGACAAAGCATATGATGTAGACTATTTTTGAAGAAGTACAAATACTTCTAGATGATGCCAAGCTAAATTCTCAATATTTAGCATTTGTAGAAAAATTTGTGACTTGGACTTGTAATTGCCTTCTACTTCTAAGATTCAATAGTAAGACACTACATGAAGTTTTTTATAGTAAAAATCATTCTCTTTAAAATGTCCATTTCTTTGATTTTCCTACTTAATATCACATATCAAAGAAAAAATGTCAAAAGCTTGATACAAAGGTAAGAAAGGATATTCTTGTTAGATATTTAGCAATGGCAAAAGGATATAAAATTTTTCTACTTGAGGAGAAGAAGGTGATTTTTAATTGAGATGTAATCTTTTTCAATAATAAACATGAATTACTTGGTGAGCTACTAACCCTTCAAAAAAAATTGGAAAAGATATGGATTATAGAAATAATCTTAATATATTAGATTTTAAACATCTAAATGAATTAGAAATATCTCAACTTCAAGCTTTAAGATTACATGTGCATGATGGATTGGATGGAGAAATGATTGAAGAGGAAGCAAATCCTGTACCAAGAAATGTAGTGGAATTCTATCAACCAAAAATGAATGCAATCACTCAAGCTCTACCACCAAGACGTTATTGCATAAGTGGCATTGAACTGACAAATATTATTAGTGGTAGTAGGATTGCACCTTAGGAAATATATATATATATATATATATATATATATATATTTGAGGAGATTATGATTTATTGATTGAAATAGTGGATGTAGTTCATGTTGATGAATATATAAAATCAAAGACTGTTGAGTAAGCCATAACTTCATCTTTTTGCAAAGAATGGAGTTTTTTTTAAAATAAGAATTCAATTCTTTGAAAGATCATGATACATGGGAATTTTCATTTTTATCCAATGATAAGTAGGCTGTAGATTCAAAATGGGTTTTTAAGAAAAAAACTTATTAGCGATAACTTTATTGAACGTTTTAAAGCACAATTGGTTGCAAAGGATTTTATACAAATAAAAGGTCTTGATTACCAAAAAAACTTTTGCATTGGTTGCTTGCCTTATAACAATTTGTATATTTGTTGCAATTGCTGCTTCTCTTAATTAGAATATATTACAAATTGATGTTGTTTCAGCTTATTTAAATGACAAATTTAAAGATGAGGACATTTATATGAAAATTTTAGAAGTTTGGAAGTTCCATCAAAACATAAAAGTAAGGTATTGCAATTGCTAAAGATTTTATATAGTTTGAAATAACTTAGACGTGGATGGAATGAGAGTTTGGATAAATCTTTATTGAATCTTAGTTAGAAAAGCTCAAAATTAGACCCTTATTTGTATACAATGTATATGGAAGAACTAATTCTTATATTAATTATCTATATTAATGATGTACTTATTGGTGGCAAGAACTTTGAAATTCTTATGAAATACAAAGATGAATTACAAGAGTGCTATTAGATGAAAGACCTTGGTGAACCTAATAATTTTCTTTGTATTGATTTTTTGCAAGATAAGAAAAATTGTACTATTAATTTGAGTCAAACTAAATACATTTCTTGAAAGTTAGAGGAATTTGGGATGAAAGATGAAAAGGCAATTGCTACACTAATGGTATGAAGTTATATCACTAAACATGAGAAAAATGATCTTTTGGATGTAAAAAGTATAAAGCTATATTGAAAAGTTTTCCGTTTGTTATTGCATCTTGCAAATGATACAAGGTATGATATTGCATTTGCTTATCAGCACTTTGTTCAATACATGGCACATCCACATGTTTCACATTGTTAAGAAATCAAACAAATATTTTTTTACTTGCAAGGAACAAAATATTTGGTATTGCAGTACAGAGAAAAAGAAGCAAATTTGCAACTTGTATGCTACAATGATACAGATGGAGCATATTGTGTAGAGACACACCATTCAGTAGGATGTTATGTATTTATATTGGATGGAGAAATTATCACTTAGTCAAGCAAGAGGCAATCTTTTTTTTTTTTTTTTTTTTTTTTTTTTGTCAACAGAAGCAAAATATGCAGTCTTAGCTGTTGTAGTAGGGAAGACTTTGTGGCTTGTAAAGTACTTAGGGATTATGACATTTTTTAGCCAAAAGAAATTCACTTTTATAAAGATAACCAGAATGTCATTGCTATTGCCAAGAATCCAGCACACCATAGTTGTATAAAGCACTGGGATATAGAATATCATTTTATTAGACAATGTGTTGAAAAAAGACAAACTGGTTTGGAGTATTGTCCCATGAAGCAGATGGCAGCAAAAATCTTCACAAAACCTCTCACTAGAAATAAGTTCCTAGCTTTTATGAATATATTCGATCTTATTTTAGTAGAAAATTAAGTCCCACTTCCAAATGAATCTTAAATATCCCATATTGTATGTACCAAAAGCTGTGACATATCCAACTCTTAACTAAGACACTGGAAGTGTCAATCCCTTGGCTATTGGAGCTTTTTGTTAGCAACTATTATTATCCATCTTCCTTTCATGCTTTCATCCTGTTTTCGTAACAGTTAGGCTTAGCTCCATTCCCTGTTGCAAAGCTCAGGTCATTGGAGGATGAAGTTTGATTTGTGATCGGTGCCATTTTTCTTTAGCTTCTCCATCTTATTGAACAAACTATGTATTTTTAGGAATCCTTTTTTAAAAAATCGCCGTTCTTCTGCTACCATTCAACTCGAGGAACTTTATTTAATCTTCGTCTCACAGCTCGAGACTCTGGAGAATTATAGGTTCAGAACTGCTATTCCCTGCAGAGCTCGCTTTCTCAACGTCCACATTGCATCTAATGATTTGATGAGCTATGGTGTGATGGCCATGATCAATTTCCTCTTTATTCAAACTTATGTTCACTCTTGATATCAATTCAAGATTTCAGATGGAGCTATTAACCTTGAGGTCTGGATGTTTCCAAGCTTGGAAGGTGCTGTGTGAACCTTGCTCTTCTGTAACGGCAGCTACATCACACTATCAGTACTGTTTCCATGTTAAAAGCGTTTACCGTTCCTCTCGATTGCGACCAGGGACACTGCAGTCCTTCCACCGATGTGACCCGGGATACAGGTGCGCAGTGTAGAGTACCAAAATATCGCTGTCCACATAATTCCGTGACCCCACGTCAAAGTCATTTGTAATTTGTTTACCGGATGCATGGCAGTTCATGTGATTATCTTCAGCATCGATCGCGTGCCGCTGCTGCTTTCTGAGGAAATAAGAGTGCCATGAATATCAAAGCGGATGAGAACTCCATTAAGTGTGTCATACAGTGAACGGGGTCAAGGAAAAGAAGACCCGGTCTACTAAGTGCATGGAAAAACTCAAACGATAGAAGCCATGTTGTAGTGCCTTACTGACACGCTAGTATCAACCACTCTGATTCGCAGATTTGCGCCTGGAACTGGACGTATAATTGACAGGAACCGAACATTTCGCGGCGAGGTAAATGTGAACTGCGCATGGGTAAGTGTGGTTTAGGGTTGTGGATTCCGGAGAAGCAAATCAGCGAAACGAGTCACACGTTGGTGTGTGTCATTCCAAACCAATGGTCAGGTATCACAAAACAGTACAGAGGAGGAACTGCATGACATGCACCTCATAGGACCTCACGTAAAGATTAAGGTGACTGCTAACGAATCACTTAAGTATTTGGTACAAAACTTAGCAATCACCGAGCGAGAATGCGGTTGTAGGGATGGGTAACGTCCTACGAGTACGAGAAACTAGGGCATGTGCTAGGTGCATCAGGGATTCTGGGAGTGGAGCAGCTTGGAGATAGTTGACGAGTGAGATAGTTGACTGAACGCTGCCATGAAGCGATACGTAGGAGCAAATCGAGAACCAATGCCCACGCGCGGTGAGAAGATCCCGAGATTAAAGTAGAAACTCCATCCATACACACAGGATTATTTCAGCTGGCTTCATTGATGTTATCAGCAAGGAAGTACCTCATGTGCAAGAAGAGATTGTGGTTGTCAGCTTAATTGGAAGTTGCTCTCAGCAGGAGCTGTCCCGCAATTCAAAATCAATGTAACGAAAAAAGATATTAATTGAAAGCAGGTCTTGGGGTCTTCTGGCCTCTGTTATCCAATCAGCCATTTACTGAGAGGGGGATGCTTCTTACCCCATCTTCACAGCTCTCAGCTCCAATTGCTTTAGGCATAAATTCTTGCATTCAATTCTAACGACCCCGCAGGTCTGTGTTGGTGTAACGGTGTTTTAAATAGTTTCTTCTGGATTTTGGACAATTTTCCTGCAGGTTCACTGAAATTCAGTCAAGCTGGCAGAGAAGGTTCACGAGTACCGAATGGCGCCGCCACAGAGTGAAGAGATTGGCCCCAGTGGGCTTCGGCTCACTTGTTGACACCGTTCTTCCGAAAGATTAGGTCAAATCTACAATCCTAATATGAAAAACATTCTGTAAGAAAAATATATTGTAATATGTCGACCATGTCATAGTTCAAACGAGTATTACATTCCAATATTCTTTCTCGGCCAAATCAAACAAAAAAATTTAAAAAATTAATCCTAGTTCAATTTAACGGTTAATTACAGCTGGAGTTTCATGATCCAATCAGATAAACAATTTCTATTCTCTTTGAAAATTTCATTGTTAGTATTTACTTGTGATGGAATATAATTTAGCATCACTTTTACATTCCACTTAATGAAATTTCCAGTAATAGTAATGAACATACACAAACATCGTTTAATGTATTTATGTATTCAATAAAGTTGATTAGATGCGTCATAATAGGTTGAATAGAAAGAAGTTAAAATACACGGTAGAGACTGCAGATTATTTCTAGTCCGGAAAACTAAGCTGAATTCCTGTCTAAGTTTGGTGGAGGTGCGTTGAATATGCCCACACTCAGACAGAGACCGCCAGCCGCCAGCCGCCAGCCGATGTCAAGCAGCGGCAGAGTCACGCGGTGGCGGCAGTCAAATTGCAAGGAGTTACCGAAGCCACCGTCGATTCATGCCACCCGGAGTATGGACTCTCGGCGATGCTCAACCTCTTCCACTGCAGTGCAAATTGAAATAAACTCGTTTTAAGCAGTGTATATCACGCCACAACGGCGCACGCACGTTAGATCTGAAGTCGTTGCAGGCTGACAAGCATGCTATTAACTACCGTCTCCGATCGCCGAGGATTACGTTTTAATTGCTTGCAAGCTGAGGCTTCGGAATTGAAGGCGAATCAAGCAACTTCTGGATTATTATTTCCTACTTCTTTCCGTGGTTTATGTGTTTTGTGGAGGGACAGAGTCGGTGGCAAGTTGCGGGATTCATATTGTTGGAGTTGCCGGTGAGGAGGTCGTTTGGCGTGTTGGCATGTCAAGGTGACGCTGTTCTCCTTTGGTGACACGGCGGCAAAACGTGATCGTAACTGGTTGATTGCTTCACCCAAACGTTATTCACTTGTGTTTTTGCGAACTCTCATCGGATGTATCGTAGAGGTGGAGGAGGTGCGGCAGAATTTTACTATATCGATCTGGAGCTGGTGGAGGAGATGGATTCCTGGAAGGACACACTGATGGCTCTAAACGTGTCTGTGCAGGTTCTGTCGACGAGGCTGCTGCGCCAAGGAAGGGTGTGAAGTCTTCTTTGTAAAGCGATGAGAAGGCGTGGCCGCAACGACGAATTGTCATTGGTATCCGAGAAGGATGCTTGGGATGATCCGCAAGTGGTCCCGACAAGAGTGGCGTGTTAGACAGTCATAATGTTAGATTTCCTGTGGTTGACGTGTGTGATAGAAGTGAGGGTACCTGGAGAACGTCGTTCTGACGAGTCTGAAATCTAAATTGAGAATCATGGACATCTTTGATCACCGCTGTCAACTACCTGGACCCTTAGTTTGTACCGCTCAGATTACCTTTTCCAGATTAGTCACCTGTTGTTGATTTTAATTTGCGTCAACGATGATACGGTCAAAAAGTTCTTTGGTGGTCTCTTACCCTTCTTTCTGGCAGTTTCGGTGGAGAGACTCGCGTAATCGTGCGGCTTCTCGAACACCATGAGTCATCTGCCACTATAAAGCTCGAAAAGGTTCACGATTCTTTCACCTGTTCAATGTCATTTTAGCCTGTATAGAGATCGGAGCTCTAATTATCAAGAAACTCGGTATCAGGACGAGAGCATAGCAGGCATTGTGAAAGGATTAAGTTTCAGAAGAAATTCGGAGGTCACCATGGGGCTCCTATTTACAGTCTGCGTGTTTTGCTACTTCACGCTTGTGGCTGGGGGTATGTCCGACGGCATGCCTTACGTGCGGCCTCCCTCTAATTCGAGCAAAATCGGGTTGCTAATTAGTGCTGCCAAGAGGAGTTCTACTGATCCAGACCAGGTACCTGTAAATCTCATCTGTAGGATATGATATCTGTTGAAACCCGTCTCTTACACGTAAAGAACGCAAGGAAGCCCAAATGCTTGTGTTTTGTCTTGGTTTTGTTTGAACTCGCAGATACAATGATCGAACTAGAAATCATAATAAGAAAAGAGAAGAAATAAAAAAAAAAGCTTAAGTAAGGTTCTCTACATCCCTGTGTATTCTTCACGGGCCAAAAGTAACAATTTAAGGACGCAGATTCATGTGTCATTGGCAGGGCCAGGATACATGAAGGTTTCGTGGATGACCGCGGACAAGAACGTGCCATCAACTGTTCAATATGGAATTCAGTCTGGTAAACTCCTGCAGACTGCTAGCGGCGTGTCCACGAGCTACAGATTCATCACCTATCAATCCGGCCAAATGCATCATGTTAAGATTGGTCCTTTACAAGATTCTACGACCTACTTCTACAGATGCGGGGGGTACGGTCCTGAATACAATTTCACGACGCCTCCCCCTTCTGGACCCTCTGAGCCTGTCAAGTTCGCTGTTGTTGGTAGGTGATTATCTTCAGGTCCATGCTTTAGCATCCGCCGTTTGTGTTGGACTCTCTGTCTCCTGAATTCAATCACATAGTTTGGCCAGCCGAAGTCCGACACCAGTCTAAAAACGAGATGGGTTGATTGAAAAATGTGTATGGAAAATGGATCGCAGGTGATTTAGGTCAAACGGACTGGACCATGTCAACTTTGGGTCATGTTGCTGCATACGACTATGATGTCCTACTCTTCGCGGGTGATTTATCATATGCAGATTACATCCAATCGCGATGGGACACTTTCGGGCAGATGATGTCTCCTTACGCTAACTACAAGCCCTGGATGGTGACGGAAGGAAACCATGAAAAAGAGAGCCTTCCTTTACTAGTTGAAAGTTTTCTAGCTTACAATACCCGCTGGGAGATGCCATACAAAGAAAGTGGCTCAAATTCGAACTTATACTACTCTTTTGAAGTCGCCGGTGTCCATGTTCTGATGCTTGGTTCCTACACCGACTTTGACACAGAATCTGAACAATACAAATGGCTTCAGGTTGTGCATCCTTGCCTAGTCTTGTCTCCAAGAATAGGCCGTAAATTAACTGTTTTGTGAATCTTGAATAAGACATTTGATGCATTATTACATTAGCGATGCCCAGGAATAGAGTAGATTTTAAGCGATCATTAATCAAACCGAGCACACAAATCTAACATGCTTGGTCTGCTGGGTTCGACAGGTAGACTTGGCAAAGGTGAATAGGGCGAAGACTCCATGGCTGATTGCCATGCTTCATGCCCCTTGGTATAACAGCAATACTGCACATCAGGGTGAGGACGAGAGCGAAGACATGATGGCTGCAATGGAGACATTACTCTACCAAAACAATGTGGATCTCTTGTTTGCTGGGCACGTTCACGCCTACGAACGTAATGTATGGATCCAAACCCTCTCTCGATTCTAATCGTGAAAGCATTAAGGATTAGCAAACTGTACAGATTTTCGCTAAATACTGAAATCCAAGATTCTTAGATTTTTTCCTTTTCTTCAACGATGTTCTCCTGTGACTAATCGCTCCTTATTATTGACATCTTAACAGCTTCGGGTGTACAAAAAGAAGTTGGATGAATGCGGCATTGTCCATATCACCATAGGAGACGGCGGTAACCGAGAAGGGCTTGCCACAGAGTAAGTCGTCAACTGACACCATTCGTGATTTTTCTATTACCAATTGCGAAATGCAATCTCAAGGTCCATGTTCAACCGAGAAACAACATGCTTTCTCATCTTATAAGATGATGCGCATTGCTTTGCAGTTGGAAAAGCACCCAGCCAGCATGGTCGGCAAAGCGGGAGTCTAGCTTTGGTTTTGGACAGCTCAACGTGGTGAATGGTACGCATGCTCTTTGGAGCTGGCATAGAAACCAAGATGTGGAAGCAGTCATGGCTGATGAGGTGTGGATGACTAATCTGAACGCTAAGCCGGAATGTGCTCGCAAAGCGTGATCGGAATCCCCGATGTTAATTCACAAAGCCAGCGCATAATGAATTGCTCTACCCATAATAACAAGTACCCTAGACATTTCTTGATACGCTTCATTCAAGCAGACTTTCGGAAGCTACTCCACCACAAAGAGCTTCCCTCGGTAATGCATAATAACTGAATAACTCATGCTTTTGGAGCATTAGCATAATATACATTCCAACCTTAGAATAGCAGAGAGGGCTTGTATTTGATCACCTCTCTGATGTAAAATATGCATGGAGACCCACTAGCTGGCATCACATTCAAGTTTGAGGCCTCACCAGTGTTTGAATTGCTCTGGCAATGATGGACAAGGCAGAGAGCAGCTCTTTCGCTGTTCACCTTCAGAGGTAGTGTTTTCTGCTCTTGCACTCTTAGACTAAAGTCTCATCTAGCGCAGTTGTACAATTCCATCCATTCAAAAAGTAGTTGAGTTCTCGGAGATCATCAGAGTTCTCAATTCGAGGCTTGGCAGGCAAAACTGGGTTGATATCATACACTTCAGTACACTAAAAGGTCGATATTTATACTGCACACGAGTCATCCTCATTCCAAGCTCTTGATGGACAATTCGATCATGGTATCAGCTGTTAAACCTGAATCGTAATTAAATCTCATCAACTAGACAGTCAATTTTATGGTTTTGGTTGAATGAGTTGTTGATGGTAATAGATGTAAAGTGTTATTGTCTAAAGACAATATTCTTTCACCTTGTATTAGAGGTAACAATTTTGTTCAACAAATGCATGGAAATTGTCAATTGAAGTGTAATGGAAAGAAAATTGTATATTAAGGTTTTAAATGAGCATGTAAAATCATTATAATATAAGTATTATTGATAAAAATCTCCTTTTCCCTGGCTGCCCTCGTCTTTTAACTTCTATTGTGGTGCAATTTGTTTTCAGAGATTTTATAACACCAAATTATAAGATGGACACCTTGGAGTTTGAGCATTTGAGTAGTACAAAGTACAATGAATTGTACTTTGTTTCCTTATTATTTTATTTAGATATATAAGCTATGTATTATGGATCTCTATCTATATAGTTATAATTAAATAAAATAGAAAATGTTTTAAATCTTCTGGAGTGTGTGTTTTTAAAATTAATTACTATAATATTCTTTTTTAATTTTAATCAATCTTTTTGCAAAGTGTAGATAAATATGTAAATCTTATTTGCCTTGTTTACAATGATAATTACACATTTATAGTCAAACAACTGTTAAAAGTCATTTAAAACATACATAAACAATTCTCAATTAAGATATGTCTCTTTACAGTTTTATTTTGAAGGAGCAGAAGAAGGAGAAGAAAAAAGAAAAAAAAAAAAAAAAAAAAAAAAAAGGGAAGAAGAAGAAGAAGAAGAAGAGAAAATCTTGCTAAATCTTGCATAAATTATTATAATTTTTTAAATCATATTGAAATGTCTAACATTCTTAGGATGCTATTTAAGTCTTAGAGAAACTTGAAGCTATTTGGTGGAATGACTCTAAGCTAGTAAAAGATATCAAAGTTTCTTGCTACTTAGAATAAGTCACAAAAAAAATCTCAGTCCTCAATAATTGTTCTAGCAAATTTGTAAGTGATTTGTTGGAACATTGCAAGGTTATAAAATACATATTGAGATATGCCTAAAAATTTTGTTTAATTCAAAAAAAAGAAAAAGAAAAAATCAAATCAAATCAAATTTTTATTTAGCTGCCAAAAACACAAAAATCTTATTTTTTTGTTTTATTCTATTTTTGGGCCAATATTGGGATTAAATATTAGGCTATCAAATGCACCCTAAATGTAGTAGTGTGCTTTTTAGTTATATAGAGATCACTTGGGGTGTAGTAATATCAATTAGAGATGTAGTGTTTATGGTTCTCATTAATTGAAACGTAAAATATTAACATGTGTAGATTGCATAATGTTTCTTGTTAAAATTCTAAGATGCTAAAAAAATTCATATAATCAAAAAAAACTATTTAAATTATTCAATTATTTATTTTCTATAATAACCTATATATATATATATATATATATATATATTAGGAAATTAACAAACTTATGAATGTATATGTGTTTTATAAATTTAAATAGGCTACTCGCTTCATTTTAATGCACTAAAAAAATCATGTTTTTTGTTACCACTACTTTATATGATTTTCTTACTTCTATCTTCAAGTGAAGTAATCCTTAGCATTCTCATACACAGAGTACAAACCATTCTCTTCTACATTTTAGAATGTGTTCTCCATAATGTTTTCAATATGGCTTTAACTCTAATTTCAATATGTTGTATAGAAATCTTATTAAACCACAAGTAGGATTTTACAGTAAAATTTCTGAAACTGTTGTGACAATCGTAGTGCTCATTTTTGTGTGAAACAACTCCTCCTGTTAATTCACTTGATTGGTTAACCTGGATCTTACACATGTACATAGAAATTTCATACAACCTGAAGAACAATTGTGGTTTACTAGGTCTCTAGCATACATCATGATTAACATTTTCAATCCTGCTCTAGTACATCCAATGATTTAAATGAAGAGACTTGCTATTTACTCTATCATCAGGCTCCAAGATAAATCACGCTGTGATTTCTGTGACTTTATTGATAGATCTGAGAGTAAATGAATATTGCACTAAAATTGGAACAAGGTGAGCATTACTTCAACACAAATCCTGTTAGAACGTATGAAACGCCCAAACACAACATTGGGCTTGAAAACATTAACTTGGTGTAGGAGAATTTGTAAAGGCATATCTACAGTCCAGGTCTGCTGCTATACGTACACTCTGCAGTCACTCGACTTGAGACAGTATCACGTATGACATGAAGCTGCTAAGATCTACGAGTTTTAAATTTTAATAATCTTCGATACCTAATAAAATAATGCTACAAAACACGTACTAGGTCCCAACCTCGGTGTCGACAATCACGAATAGAGCACCCACGCTTGTCTTCCTGCAAACAACCCTCTAGGAATAGTATTTGATGACAAACCTATGACAATCTAGAAGGCAGCTTCGTTGGAATATTACAATTCCACCAATCAAGTTTCTAAACATGAGGAATAGCCGAAGTACTGTTCTGTTGGTCAAACAAAATAAAACACTAATCCAGACTATAAATGTGTCGACACGATCATACAATTCCTACAGTGCTACCTTGACATGACCAGAGCTTCGAGGAACTCGTCCACATGGGCAAGACATGGCCAGTGGTCAGTGCGGATACGTACCAGCGTAGACCAGTCAGATACTTCCATTCGAAGGAGCAAATGGTATCGTGGGGGCAGGAAGATAAGCACGTAAAAACACCCTAACCCACCCTTACTGCCAACTTCAAGGCCCATTGGCCGTGCGTTGGGATTGACAGAGCCTTGCTCTGCTTTGTTCTTGGAATCTTCTAATCTAAGGATGGCGCCATCGCCCGGCCACCCATGTGAGCTTCTTCCGGCGTCTCCTCGAGGGTGGAATGAAAAGTCGTCCTCCAAAAACACAGGATGAGTTAACATACCCCCATCTTTAACCATGCTAACCAGTGCGCTACCGCTCACAGCAACTACAAAGGGGCCAAGCCATTGCTCAACTGCGCCCACAATGCGATCTGCCTGCCCTTCCAGAAGCTTCACACTCTCCGAGCCTTCGATTGAAACCCCAGCTTTCGACTCAGCATTTTTCAAGAGAAACGTCTCAGTACCCAAGCGGCCAGGGCCACTGCAGGCCTCGAACAGAGCTTTGAAAAGAGAAAAAAGATACTCGGGCTGGTCACAGTGAGCGAGGTCTTCGGGGAGCAGGGGCTTCTGGAATAGATCTTCGATCCCCACTGGAATTGAATCAAGCTGGCCTTGTACGGTGTGCCCATCTTCATTAGAGAAGACGATTTTTGCGTCCACAAGGGTGGGAACTGGCTGCTTGGGCTCTAATTCCACGACAATAGTCTCGCTATAAGTGACTTCGTCATCCTCTTTCGATCCCTCAAGCAGAAGAAACTGCTGACCACGGTCATCATCAGAATCCTCGGGAAAAGTTTTACTCTTAGCATTGGACTTCTCGATGCTAAAATTTGGATCAGCTTCTGTAATGACTGATGTAGGACTTTCTGTCCCTGGAGTTCGCCAGGATCTATTCTGGGGTGGTTCGCTGAGGAGAAAGGGAACGTGTACAGAATGAATGGGTCCATATAGCCCGGTAGAACTGAAAGAGATTACAACTGCGTATATTGCGGGCCAGGATTCAGACACATTGCTGGGATCTGATCCACCATACGATTCTGCCAGTAAGCCCATCAGTACTTCACCCAGAAACCTTAATTCACACCGAACGCTGATCTTTACCCCAAAACCATTCCGGTAGTCTGGAATCTCCTCAAAATGTTGCCGTAGTACAGCTAAAATACTAGAGGTCCTTGCATCCATTACACGTGGAACTGCGTCAGATGGTCTTCCTTTTTTCTCCTTGACTTTACTTTCTGCGTCTTGAACAATGAAAGCGTCCTTCTCACTGACAGTTGCATGGATGCTCTTATTTTTCACTTCTTCACTTGCCTCCTTGGGTTGATCACTAACATCCTCGACAACTACTTCAGGAACCCGGACCCCCAGGTCTAAATCTGTATATCCTCCATCAACACCAGTCTGAAACGTGTTGTAGAGAACTAAAGACCATGAGTGACGAACCAGTAGTGTTCTTTCTCTTGTAAGTTTAACATACTCAGCAACTTGGGCCTGTCAAGACAGACACGAGAGTACATTAATGTTTTGCAAACTGCAACATGCCTCTGAGTGCACTACATTACAACTTTCCAGCGATATCACAGACCTCCAAGGATTGCCCTGCACTACTTGGCTTGTAATTTTCAGAGCTGTCTTTTTGGCAGACAAAATGCTACTTCGAGACCAATTGCTGCACATATGACGAAACAAAAGTTGGCCTCACATATTGGAGAAGTGTCTCAACCTCTTGAAGATTGTAGCCATCTTGAATCGGCAGCTATTTGGACTCTTAACCAGTTTCGCACGGACAGCTTTTATCACATTGGTGGAACCCCAATAGAACACACATGCCTCATACATGTATTCAAGACCATGACATAAGCTTGAAACAAGAGAAGCTGACCTGAGTCTCCTGCTTGCTAGGATTAGAAGAAACGGTGTTATATTGTGAAGCGTTAGCTTCTTCGATTCGCTTGTCTCCATACCGCAAAATCCTACGAAGAGGATCTCCCGGAATGCTAATGAGCATTCTCAAGTACAATCTAGTCAACGCCAGTTTCCCACGTGAGTATACCATACCAAAATGAAGTGTTACCAACTCTGATCCCATTAGATTCTACGGACATCGACACAAAAAATGTAACTAAAACCTGTGGAATCGTAGAAATTCAATTCTAGAAGGGAAACGATATCGGTATACTTACAATACTATGAAAACTGTACAACAAGAACATCAGACAATACGACACTCTAACTGCACGAAATTAGTGAAGCGGATATGTTCGTTAAAACTACCTCTAATCATCGATACACGTATGCAGGATTTCAGACGAACAGTATCAGCTTCAGTTGAAACATAACTAGTTTTAGCACCACATACCTGGCGGTGTCACGCCCATCCAGATCTGGGAAGAACCTACACATATATGTGAGCAATTGGACGAGTCCATGGAATCCTCGTGAGCTTTGGTGGTGCATCAATACCTTGCAGCAGATTCCAAGAACCTGAGATCAATACCCAATGATTGTCAGTAATCCTGCAACAACCCAATCGTACTCTCCACATCATTCAAGTGAAGAGCTCAACAGCACAGCCATTAGGCAGGAATTACGACTGCTCAATAACACCAATGTATTCTAAAATACTTCACGAACTGACATGATCAAAATTATGCCACTAGTTCAGAATTTATACTTGCAAGTTGGGAGGGAGCCCTAACCCTGGAAACTATCCAAACTACCATGATAATTCGAAAAGGCCTATATATTCTGTGACTTCAAAATATAAAGTATAAACTAGAAGGATAAATGCACATGCTAAATACCTGGTTACCTCGTTGCCAGAGTCGCAAGCCTTCATCTCCCTTGTCTTCTTCGACAAGCTTTCTTATATACATGGTAAGGAGCTCCAGCAGCCGGGCCGGAGGAATGTTTTTATTCTCAGCAATCCGCTCTAGAAGGGGAAAATAAGCGGGCAAATTGCGGCTTGGGGCCAACTGGGGAAGCAAGTCATCATTGAAGGTGCGCAAAAGATGCTCACCTAATCTGTGATGCGCTTCACAAGCCAGAAGCTGGTCCACAAGCTTAAGAATATTGGGGATAAGAGTGAGGATTTTTAAAGCCATTTTCACAAGGATCAGCTGTATGGTACAGAATAAGGGTGACTTGGTGAATTTGCCAATCTCTGCATCTGGACATGATCCTTTATGTGGAGCAGCAGCGGTGAGGAAATTGTGCAAGGCAAAGAAAGTTATCTGTGTCTCTGTGCTAGAAGGAGGCAGCCATGTGAAAGACGACAAACAAAGCAAACCTTCGTTCAGGATTTTACTCGCAGCATCTGTTGGCGTCACGTCCATCCCTAAGACCTTAAAGATCCCCAATGTAGAACCGTTACTTGCCAATTGTGATTCAGTTGCAGACTTGAGCTGAACTGCACACTGTGCCAAAGTCTCGAGCTTCAATGCTTGTAAAGCAAGAGGGTCGTACATGCGGGGGTAGAGACCCGGAGCCTCGGGCGCAATGATAGAAGCTTCTAATTGAAGCTGCTTTTCTAACCCCAACAGCCAATGCAGACCAAGTAACCGAATGGGAAGAGGCTGTTGGCTTTCACAACAGAGAGTAGCCAGGCGCTTCACAATCGCATTCTCTTCCCCTTCGAATGCCTTAATAAACTGCGTAAATATTACGAGTACCACGTGGATTATAACTGGGTTGTAGGCATATAAGAGACTAGACACTGTGGGTCTCAAAAGAGAACCGTGAAGCTCAAGTGCTTTTGCAATATTAATGAACCTGGTCACAAATTCCAACATTCCGAATTCTGTCAATAGATCCAAATGTTGGAGCAGATAAGCAACCGCACGTTTGAACTCTTTGATGCTGCCTGCCAAATATAACCCATGTGCACAAGAATTATCAACCAGATTCACAGAACATCTTTTGACAAAGTAACGATTAAACACAAACCATCTATCATACAATGGAACCCCCAAAACATGTCGCTGCATGGTGCGATGTTCAAAAAACAGGTCTGTAAAATGAATAATGACAGTAATAATCACAAAATACCTGCGGACAGTTCTCTTGTGGGCACGGAAGATGCTTCTTGGCGAGCGCTGGATGCAGCCAGATACGAAGGAACCGAAAACGGGACCAAAGGGGTAGTGATTGATAAGAAAGAGTTCGACCCCACCAACCTCGACTGCTTCCCAGTGTACATGTGACACGCCATGTTGTGCAATATAGCAGTGAGCAGCAACTTGTAGGCTTGGCTGGCATGCGTCCGCTCACTCTGGCAAAACGAAAACACATGCCCAACACACGAACTCAGCAAGCATGGGTGCGCCATCTCGAGTTCCTTCAAACAGTCGCACGCCGTAGCGCGAACATGCCGGTCGACGGCATGATTCGTCCGGTTGATAAATCCAAGCAGGACCTCGATGAGGGTTTCAAAAGCCACGGTAGCAGAATGAATCGCATCCACGTCAATGGCAACTGTGGTCACCATCACCATCATCTGCTCCTTCAATCCATAAGTGATCGCCACTCCGTCCACCTGCGCCTGCAACACACTCTTTAGCCCCTCTACCAACATTGCAACTCCCGCAGGAGCATCGTCCTCGCCCACCAATGCACTCCCATTCTCCTCCAGGAAATTGAATAATGGCGCCTTCAGTGGATACTCCTTCTTCGTGATACTTTGTAGCGCTTGGTCGATAATCGTCAGACCAGGCCACGACGCCAACCACTTCTGCTGCAAATCGAGCGACGCCTTAAAATCCTGAAACAACTGCTCCCAATCCGACACTCCAAGGAGCTTCCCGCTCCCCTTCTCCGCCATAGCCACCCCCCCCCCCTTAAAATCTCAAACCCTTCTCTTCAATCCCTCGTTAGGTCGCCACCTCCATCACTCCTTAAACCCATCTCTGGCATCGCCATCACTCACAGATCATGACAAACCCTGAAGCTGCTCAAAACCCACATCAGTCAGAATCACGGCATTCACGAACACCCCACATCATTTGCTCTTCTCGCCATCATCCCAATCATATGAACTTCGATCGACAATTCCCCAGGAATGCGACTTGATTCGCCGACGTCCTCCTTGTCTAGACAGCCCATTCACCACCCTCCCATTTTGCTGAGTTGGCACTGCCACCTCGGCGTTCGTGATGACGTGGGTCGCCTCCGTGGACTGCCTCCATGTCGTATGTATTTTGTATGTATATTCGTATCTCTGTGTGACTCAGGTTTAGGGTTCGGGCGTAAATATTTTCAAGTAATGTTCTCATGTTTTGAAAAAATATACATAACTATAAATAGTGCAGGATATATTCCATAATCCATTATTCTCTCTGTGCATTTAATAGTTTATTTAAACGGTTTTTTTATTAAGAACATTGCATAAGCTGTAAAATACTATCTTACAAAAAAACATTTTTGAATGAGTCATGTAGGTGATCTTTATTTGGTTCTTTTATTTTATGTGTATTTGATTGTACCTTGATAATCTACCTCAAAGTAATAACATTTTTTGAAAATTATAATTTTTAATTTGATCCTAACCACTTAGAAATAAAAATCGAAGAATAGTCTTAAATCTTGCTTTTGAACCTATCTGTAAGTAAATAATGAAGTAGCGATTCGAGCATGTATGAGTGTTATTCAAATAACAACAAAGTTAAATATTAAATAAATAAGTCATAGTTGAGAAACGAGAGTAAACTTTGCTAAATGGTCGGACTTTCATGAGATCCATTTTAAAGGAAAAATGGTGCCATGCATATTTTGAAAAAACAAAACTGGTGAAGTCTAAAAAGATAATGCTTTTGACAATACCAGCAAACAATTGGTGACAGGATTATTAAGAGCAGGAATAACGAATCATTATTAACAATCATTTTTTTTTAAATCACTCTTTCACGAACTAATTACAAAAAAAAAAAAAAAAAAAAAAAAAGGGACAAAAGCAAAAACCTTTTCTATCAAAGCGTCAGGCGCACTGCACCACATGTCTTAAAAAAAACCTAGAAAGAGCATTGTCTCATTAAAATACAAAACAGGAGTTGGTCATTCGGTTTAAAGCTGAGGACCATACTCGAAAGTTTACACTCTAACACAGATTAGAGCAATAACATCAAATAGTCTAAATAGATTAAGACTATTCAGCAACAACAATTCTGAATTGTCTCACTCCTTTGTTAGATTTTTAGGTTGGGTCAATCCACAGGCTTTTTCACAAGCTCCCTCTCTGTTTTTTCATTGTCATTTTCTTGGCTTGCTGCTTGACCTGGGTCTTCTTCCTCTTCATGGTCCAGCATTGTTCTTACAACGCTGCAGTGTCCAGTTAGCTTCCAGCTTGACTCCAGCAGCTTGCAGGACCAGAATAAACCTCTGAAGCCTAAAATTGGAGTCCTAACGGAGTCTGAGGGTAACGCAATTTCAAGATTTGATAACCTTTCAAAGATTGATGAACACTAGTGTCAACAGGTGATTGACACAATGTTGCAGTCCAACCCCGGGCAAGTCAAATGGAGTTCGCAAAAAAGCGCACCGACTATGGAGGACATGTGGTACTCTAGACGATTCAAGACTCAGGTCCAAGTATATTAATGTTTTTTAAAAGGACATAAACCCTTCAATATTCTTCATAGTCTACCGTAAGTACTAAGATAGCATCTCCAGAACCGAAAAGAAAACCAGGAGCTACAGCTGTTCAACATTTGTACGGATGACAATCACGATACCAATTTTGCGTTGTGAATCAGTTTTTCATTATCAAGTAATCCAGTACTCAATAGGAGTAGCGGTAAGAATAACAACATCAATGTCATGACTTCAAAAGAATCATGGATGCTTGGAATAACCCAGGTTATCTACACTCTCTAAACTCTTTCATTACAATTGAGCCTATTAAGGATAAAAATACACCAAGCAGATACCATAGTCCTGCTTTCAATAGACGATCTCGGTGTCAAAAATACTGCATAATGACTTGGTCTCCAGCCGCTGCCCACAACAATACTCATCTTTGGGCTTCTCTACATATCAGCTAAAAAATCTTCATCGTATGCATCAATCTTTTCTACTGCAATTCGCAAATCCCGACTGCTGAACCTCTTGACATCAGACAGACGTGGGAATCTGATAATTACCAGAACCCAGAGGATTTTCTAAATCTTATATCTATCTAAACCTGCATTCCATGGGTGGACGGTGACAAAAACTTGGAATGGGGGAATCTAACGAGCATCTGCATGTACCTGCGCTGATGGTAAGACCTCTTTCAGGAAATTACTCAGTTGCTCACTGTAAACCTGCGGGTGGCTTCGGAAATGGTCAACATGAGGTGAAGACTGTAGATTACAAGCCCTTACCACTCGCCCTGACTTTCGTTGCTCTTCAATAAATGCTTCAACAGCTTTTACTGGTATAACCTTGTCAGCGGTACTGTAAATATAAAGTTGTGGGCATGCGGGCTGCTTCTTCTGAAGAACATTTACCACCTGTGATAATCGCCTGCAATTCAGGCGAAAGAAGTAAGCATTCACAAGTTGTTTATTCAAGGTCACAATATTAAGAAAAAAATACTGATAATCGCCCATTGTTGCTTTCGATGGATCTAAATCAAGACACCACCGCATGTCTTAACGGATCACACGCGTTCAAACACTTACTGGTCGATGGCAGGCAGCTTCAAGAAGAGGGAAAAGAATGCTTCTAAAAGGGGTAGAACCGCTATTTCAAGGCCATTGGCTCTCTTCGCTTCTGAATTGACAATGGTGCCCTGAGATGAAGCTTCCACTGTTATACCTTCCTCCACTTCACGATTTGAAAAGCCTGGCTGCGTTGCACTACTTCGCTTCTTTAGAAGTGCTGCTGAAAAGCCTGATGCCCACACCTGTTTATTCAAACATCCCAGGTACTGGAACATCAGCAATGGCATTTCCGACGGTACAATGTTCGAGATCAGCAAAACCGAAACGGGCGAATGCTTCACAACTGCTGGGGATAACTTCGCCGGAACATGTAGACAGGAAGCAACAGCTGACTAAAGGTGATGGCGTCATCAGAAGCAATACCTGAGGATCTGGGTCAGCAACAGGTGCGGAATCAACAACACACCCGGCGATTTTCTCTAAGAAATGTCCTTGCTCCTGCATCTTCTCCAGAATAATCCCATATCTGCGTGCAGATGGCATCGCATCAATATCTACACTATACCAGAGTCTCCATAACTCCAAACTCGAGGACTGTAACTATCGATCACATTCAACATTACATCCAAAATTTCAACTCATATCAAGTGCGAATCCCCCCTTCCAAAAATGTACGGCCTTTACAACACAAGGATTAAAGACTGGTTGACATCAATAAATCTAGGAATCAAACTACGTGGAAACAAGAGGCAAGTCAAAGCGCCACTCACGTCAACCAGCCAGTGTTGCTGAAAGTGTGAAACATAAGCTGCTTGTCACCCTCTATATCCGCATGCTCGCCTTGATCGGACAGCCACTGAGAAAGATGACGTGCCAATGAATTCACATGCTCTTCCGCATTCTTTTCCACCTTGAAGCTTAGTATATCCGTCATGGGAATTAAAAAAGTAACAGCATGGATTCCTCTAGCGTTGTACCACTCTGCGTACTTTTTCAGATGCTTCTGTTGGGCGCCCAGCCATCCTAAAAGCACCACAGTAAGGACCGGTCTCTTCACACGAGCATCCTCAAGACCATCGCGGTTACCCAGCTTCGAGTTTTCGTTTGTGGGAACGTGCCATGTATGGAGAGACTCCGATGGCTGGGTAGAAAAATTATTTGGTCGGGGGAATTGGACAGACACAAGGGTTGAAAGGAGAGATTCCAGATACGTCGAAGAACCCGTCTGCGCAATGTACTGTTCATCGAGGGAATAACAGGGCAAGGTCGAAGAGTAAACAGAATTTTCAGACTGCTTCCAACCCTGAATCCTGGCCGAAATGAGCTTCTGAGTCACCGGCGTGGAATACAATCCCGGGGCTGAGAAAGAGAAAGGCACCAGTGACGGAGGAGTCGCGGCAGTCATGCTCGGAAACAACGCAGAGTGCGTTGCAGAGGAGGGTGGCACAACGGACGTCGCAAGGTAGACTGGAGAAAGGTGAGAGAGAACCCGTCGCGACGAGGCTAAAAGAGAAGACACACCCGATGCACCTTGCGCAAGGGAGAAGGAAGATGACGCGAAAGGAGAACGAGCAGAGGAAGAGTCACCTCCCGGTCCAGCAAACGCACGCGGCGGAGAGACCGAAGAGGCAGACGGCAAGAGCTGCGCGGCGCAACCTTTCGGAGGCAAGACCTGCGGCATCGACACAGAAAAGGATGCGCCATCACCGCATCCGCACGAGCCCAATGGTGCGGACAGAGGCGGAAGAGGCATTGACATCGGAACCGCGTAATACAGGATGGGCGTGGCTTTTAGGTGCAGCTTATCAGGAATGTTCACCGTCGCAGATGCGGCCGCCAAGATTGCCGCGCCCGCTGCAATGGATCCATGGACAATCCGCGCACCCGCACCCCCTCCCATAACAATCACGATCAGCACATACAACCTCCCTCTAATCCAAAGTCCAATCCGCAACCGCTGGGTCTCACCCAAAATCCCCAACCAACTCCTTTCGTTGCAACACCCAGCAATCGCTCCAACCTGTTAATCCCAAACAAAGCTCGTTCTCCACGAGACAGGCAAAAAATCCAAACACCACCACCTCTGCTACCTTATTGAAACTCGCCTTCTCAAAAACTGAAAAAAACCCAACTATTACCGGCATCAAAAGAGCAACGCTTCCAAACGCAATTGCCAAACACAAATCACGAAATCTTCCTCCTTCGCTTCCTTCCTGACTGACAACAAACGATGAATATGCAAGTATGTGCTATGACAGCGCAAGTCAGGAGGGGCATGGATTTATCAGCGATGATCAGCCAGGCTGGGTCAGCAACGCTGAGAGCATGGGACGGTAGCGCCACCGACGACTAGTGGCCACGAGCATCATCCACCACTAGCACCCCACTAACTTGACAACAGCTAGCAGTAATTTAGAGTAGAGTGAGTGTCGTTGTTGTCTGCATAATGTCCCCGTTCCCCTCTCTTACTCCATTCCTGCTCTGCTGCTGCTACTGCTTCGCCACGCGGGTTTGACTGGCGCCGGCGACACGCAGGCTGGCTGCCCGAGGTCGCGTGCGTGTGTGCGTCGCTCGAAGCTCCACCGTAGGTTCTCGTTGCACGCGCATGTGCGAGAGCAAGACTGACCTCGGAATCTGCTCCCGACGCATTTACTTTTCCACCCTGCTGCTGGCTTTTTAACTTTTTGTTTTTGTTATTGAGCTTCTGGGAGAGGTCTGCAGTCAACTGTCGTGAGCTTCCTTGGTTTTGTGAATATATATATATATATATAAATATAAACTAGTGTAAATCCGTGCCGTTGGCCAAGGAAATAATTGAGAAGCTTGAGAATGTGGAACTTCTACTGAAATGTTGTGAATCCCTCCAGGTTCTCTGCTCCAAATGATTCATAGAATTAGGATTTGCGCTTTGACTTCATAAAAGCAGTTCAGTTGTAATCCACAGTTCTCTCAGTACCCCTTTTTGGACATTAGATGAATTTCCACTCTATCAATTAGAACTAGTTCATTCTCATTGTGCATTATTGTACAGAAACGACACTGATAGAAACTGCTCCTCTATACATGCTCAAACATTTTGCATGAAAGGCTGTTATGTATTAACAAAAATAAGCCATGATACTAAGAATCTAGTAACTAAGCAATTTAATATTAGAATTAGACCAAAAAAAAAACCTAGTAAAATTAAATGTATTAATAGAGTCAAGCAAGCATAATAGAGATATCAACTTTTTCCTCTTGAAGTTGTAGGCTTCATCCAACTGCAAGTTGGAATTTGTCATCTTCAAGTGCAATCCATTCAACTGAATCAATACATAAAAATTGATAGTCAGCAATAGTTGATACTTAAGGTTCATCTTAAAACCCAAACAATCATTTTCTTTATTTGAAGAAAGTAGAGTTCAACAATTATGAGGAAAAAACATCTAAAAGCACAAATCCTCATTCTATTTTATCATTCTAACTTCAATTACATTAAAGAGATGCAATAAAGTAAGAAGTTGATTGTAACATAATTCCAGTCTCTTTGATTATAGACAATTAATAACTTGTTCAAATGTTTGAACTTCCTTATTCATGTAGGCCTATGGCAAAAAATAATTCAATGATAGAAGAGAATATTGATGACTTAGAGCATTGAGATGTTATTCTAAAAGGACAAAACCTTACATATACCTAAAGTAGACACAATTTATAAACCAAAATATTATGGTGCTTTGTACCACAAACAACCTCTCTTGACACAAAAAAAATATTGTTGTGTACATAACCCACATTTACACAACATGCTTTGAAGAAACAACAACAACATAAGAATTGATGTATATTGCATGGTTAAAAAAATACTTCAATGCATCTATTAAAATGTAAATTGTCAGGCTACAAAACAAAGTCTCTTTGTTTAGTTGGACAAGATGTAAGTGCCATTGGAAACCTTGGCAATTACTAAACACTTTGTTCTACATGCCCATATCAAAGAGGATTAAGTTGGCTTCTTGTTTCTTTCTATCATATACTTGAAGGCCCTTTCTAAAGAATCATGCTTCTTGTTTAGGTAAGAAATGATATGTAGTATCATGAATACAATAGAACATCCGATTATGTACTTGAAAGGATAGTTTAAGAAGCCAAGTTTTATTGAAAGAATTAATATATCAATTCTAACTTAAAAAGAGTAAAGAAGTAATAAAAAGAGTTGCCTTGTAAGTGTTGATTAATTCAAACAAAGTTAAGAGTGAACTCAACTTTTGGTTCCCTTTTGATAAAAGCATTTAATAAAAACAATAAGACATGCAAGGAATCAAAAAGTTGTTTTGTCTCCTCTTATTTATTCCATGTATTTGTCTCTTCCTAAGATGTTTTTATACAAGATCGCTATATATATATATATATATATATATATTAGTAGAAATCCATATTACTGACCACAAAAAAATATTATAAACTATGCCTTATAAATTAATCTTTTATTTGAAGCCTATATGATATAAAACTTCATGTTGCATGCCATTCCACTATGTTTTATGTAGTTCTATATTGTGGTGCTTCCAAGCTCTACACCACGTAATCTTGTAGTACTATTTTTGATAATCTATAACAATAGCATGCAAATTTTGATCTTTGATTGTTCAAAAGTTGAGTTATTATTTTACTTTTGCTTTACTTTTAATGAAAATGTCACAAACATATCTTTATTGTAATTATTACATAGATAATATGAATAAATAAAAATATATAATAACAGATTAATTTTATGATATCTTCTAAAAGAGCTTCTTAGAAGCTTCATAGATGTTGTTTTAACTTTACATATGTTTGTAGTTGATTGGTAGGTGAGAAACTTGGTCAACAAGCTAACCATCTACTTTATATGTTGATAGCTTGTCGAACAAGCTAATTATATGACACCTGTATAGAAAACTTGCTTTGCAAGTTAAGATATGTATTGTACAAAGTCAACATGTTTTTGGAGGTCTTATAGAACATCACTACAAAGCTCCTAGGTAGATAGTATAGATAAAGACAAGAGTAAAGCCTTCTTCATTCTTGTCAATTCCTTTCTTGTTTCTAATCTAGTTTTAAGAGTCTTTAGTTTTCTTGTCTTTTGGCTATAGTCATTCCAATTTTTTTTAATATATATATATATATATATATATATATATTTCTATTTTTTCATACTTCTTTGAAAAAGTCTTACTTGTTTATTTTTTTTTATCTAGTTCTTGTCCTTGACAACAAATAATAAGATGTGCAGCCAAATAGAGATGATTTTTGTCTCTTCTAGTTTATCTTATTGGTTTAACTTATTGGTTTATTCCCTTAAGCTATTTTATGTAAGAAATATATAATTTTAGTTGTTTTTATATATTTAATTGATTGAATAGTTTGTTCATATGCAACTTAGAGTTGTAAAATCATCCTTCCAAAATAAAAGATCATAGAATCTAAATTGAATATGTTAATCTAAAAATAAGAAATAAAAAAAGAATAAAACTTGAAAATCTTAATTTTATGAAGAGAAAATTTTATATCAATGATAACACCTAATAAAATAATAAAAAAAACTTATAATAATTGCTTTAATTGTATAATTTTATTTCATTCAATAATTAAATAACTTATAAAATTATTTTAAGATGTATCAAAATAATAAATTATATAGAATAGGTCTTAATAAATAAGTATTAGAAAATATCAAGAAAAAATTTAGCCTTTATTTATATTAGCAATCACCAAATAATTTTAAATGAATGTTACAATCTTTATTAAACTTGCTTAATTGTTATCAACTATTCTAAAAAGACATTATTATTTATGATCTTTAAATGTATATCTAATATTTAAGTAACCTGATTTTTAAATTGCTGTTTTTCAATATGTTGTACAATTTCAGTTTTTCATCATCACCAAGTTGTATGTTTTATATTAAATATTGAATTTTATTTCTATATAAAGTCTTTTAAAGAAAATTTATTTCACTTTGTGACTTAACCCCACATACTAATATCATCAGCCTCTCATTTATTACTTACAAAGAGTTCATGACATCATTTAATGGCTAATTATTCAATTTTTGCATAATCATAGAAATAAAAGGACAATTTGCTTATCAATGTTATAATTATTAGCTAAGATTAAATATATATTTTTATAAGTTCAATGTGTTATTATTTAATAAATTTACATAATTTTCTATTTTTAACATATTTTTGTATGACTAGGAATAAAAATATTAGTAAAATTGAATCTCTACATGTACTAGCTAATCTTTACATATACTAGCTAATAAAAGAGACTATATGATTTCTTTAAAGAACTATAAACCTTAAGTGTTAAAGTTTTAGGATGTGATTATAATATTAAATACTAAACAAATACATTCATGACTAGTAGAAATAATGATAATAATAAAATTGTACTAATCAAATTAATCCTTTGTTTTCTTCAATGAATCAACTCTGATTTAATTAAATAAATTATTAAACAGCAACATATTTGTAATATAAAAAAGTTCTTACATTACATTGTATTAATTACATTTTAAGAAAGACAATACTACAAAGGTAGAAGTCAGATACTTCAGATTTGATAGATTGGCAATTATAATAATTTATTAAATTATAAATTCTATTTTGCAAATATGAGCATCAAGGACAATCTTTCAAAGAGTTCAAGACATCAAAACTCAATAAATAAATAATTAAGATTTATTTTACCTTGCGGCTCCTTATAAAAGAATTATATATATGTATATATATATATGTATATATATATATATATATATATAGTTTTGAATAGATTGCATTTACACACCCTCATAATAATAACAATAATTAAATAAACAAAAGTATTGCTGAAAAGCTACAGATCAATAAAAGCCATGAATCAAATAACACAGTTACAAGTTTCCTATCAGATTATTAAATTTTTTGAGGAGCACAATTTTTCGATAAATTATTAGAAGAGGGAAAGTAGAAATTCTATTTGTGTAGACATTATAACACAATTTAATACTCTTTTTGCTCTGTTTCTTCAAAAAAAACATTGAAGAACACATAGATTGAAAAATTATATTAGAGCAAGATATAAAGATTAGGTAAATGAGAGCAAATGAGCAAGTACTTTTTGAAATCTATTAGAAAGACTCAAAAGAATTATGTTTTCAGCTTTTTATTTTTAGATTCTTCTTTGAGTGCATAGATAAATTCCTCTCTACTGCAGTCAATATTGGGGATTTGTTATGGAGTACTTTTCTACAATTTTACATTGAAAAATAGATATTGAAAAATAAAATCAGAGAGAGGAGGAGGTATATTGGTTTTGTTGTCACTACCTGTAAAATGGTCAAATGAGAACCAAACAAGATCATAGAAGCCTGTGGATGTGAAATGAAGGGACATTAATATTATGCACAGTTGGGTCACAAAATAAAGTACCATCTTAGAACTCAGA